ATCTTCGGATGAACGCAGGTGGTAATTTTGTTGTTGTTTTTTGTTCTTCAGTCAATATCCAAAAGTCTGATATTACTAGCAAACGACTGGTATGAAGATTGCATTTATTATGTGTCTGTCTCTACTGGGGTAGTTGGCTGCGTGTAAACTGGGGTCAGCTGATACATGACATTGCTGACTTGTTGGATTCTTGTTTCAATCTCTTTTTATTCTACCATAACATGAAAAGATGCTTCCCAAGTATTGAAAATAATGGACTAGCTTTAAAGTTTTTTCCTTGCTTTAAAAAAAATCTTTATTCCGATTGTTTGATGTTCTCACGTATGAATAATTATCTAATATCCCCCCCCCCATGTTTATTTTCATTGAGGCAGCTGTTGAGTTTATGTGGTCTGTGTGTAGCCGATTTAACTTTATTGTGTAATATGCATTAATCGTCGGCAAAGAGGACGTCGCTGAAATTTTCCTAGTCATTTCCCGACTGGTCATTTGTTGTTAATAATGCCCATAAATATGATAATAAGCAAAGGTGATAAAATACATCCTTGTCTGGTGTTAAAATACATCATTGACTGCATTACACCTGATATTACTGGAAACCATTCTGTAATGATAGTTCCTTCCAACGTCAGGAGGCATTTCTCTTCTTAATTTCCCATTTGTGCATATTTTCATTGGCTTCACATATGGAAGTGTACCTGGCTGCCGCGAGTAGGAACGCAGAATAGACGAGAGGTAAACATCGATAAACGTTTTGTTGTTGTTTTGTATTGTTTTGGTTGGCATTTCTATGAGTATATATCTTTAGATTTATATATTTGACCAGATCTTGATCTTATGTTAAAACTTCTGTGTTATTTAAATGTTACTGTTTATTTACTATTAAAAAAAAATTGTTTAGTTTAAAAAAAAGGTTGTTGCGTATCCTACCTCTAGAACTAGAGGACGTTGCAGAACCAACCCTAAGTAACAGCCCCTGGCTGTTGTGTGGTTTCTCTAGGCAAATTTACGTCCAGTAGTTTGCCATTGCTTCTGGACGGTCGGCTTTCTTGATACCACTGTCGAAACCAACGCAAGGCGCATTGCCCGCAGCTGGGATCGAACCTGGCATCCCGGCATTACGAAGCGAAGTGTTCGCATCGACTCAAAAAATTTTTTCTGTTGTGTTAGTACTATTAGTGTATTGATGCTAGTTAAGTTTTATGTATTCAGTTCTAACTTATGAAACGTTCACAGCTACATAGAGATTAAAATAACAAAACCAACGATACCTCAATGAAGCCTATTAGTCAATTACCATACATAATAATAAGGCTCTTCTCCGAACTTCAACTCGATATTATGGCGGCCATAAAATATCCATGGCTCAGGCAAATGTAAAATGCGGACTTTCTGCCAAGGAACAAATCACGGCAAAACTAGGATTACTTGACAATTTCAAGAGACGCAACATTGCAGATGATAGTAACAGACGATAATATTAAAAGCGACCGTTGACAATTTCGAGCATTTCAGCAGACGATAATAGCATGCGCTAAACATGATTAAACTCACAGTCGAGGGTATCCCCCGAGCCGATACGCACGGCGCGGATGTGGTGGGGCTAAACTAGGTGCCTGGGACTCACGAGCAAATTAATTGGAGGAAGTTGCAGGAGATGCGGTAGCTGCTGCTCGTGAGTCCCAGCCATCTAGTTTAGCCCCCATCCGTGCCGCACGAAGCGGTCGGGGATACGGTCGGTGGTCAGGCATAGTCACAGAAACAGGCCCGCAAGTAACATATCGCTGAGACCCTGTTAGAGCATTTGTTTCATTATACGGAGCCGGCATATTTTTAATAGAACTGAGCCCCGTAAGGATATTTTATGGCCGCCATAATATCGGGTTGAAGTTCGGAGGAGAGCCCATAATAATAAGAAAAACTCCACAGGGGAGCATGCACAGCAGGGCTCTACCGGTCGTCAGTAGAAAACCTTCGTCGACAATTGTTTCAAACAAATATTCTGGTTCATGACATAGGTCCTAGTTATCCCCTGCTGTCGATGGATTAGCGTACTTTTTCGGACGTGACGATACCAGACGACAATGTAATCAATAGGTAACTGGTGAGACGATTTGTGTGGTTTCTCTTAATGGCACCCCACTCCAAGACGTGGAGTCGTACACCTATTTAGGCAGTAATGTAGATAAAGATGGAGGAACTGATAGAGATATTAAAATAAGAATACAAAAGGCAAGAGGAGCTTTCATAGCACTAGGGAATTTGTGGAGGTCAAAAGAAATTAAAAGAAATACTAAACTAAAAATGTTTAATTCTGTCAAATCAGTACTATTGTATGGGGCGGAAACATGGAGAACAACGAAGGCAATTACTAATAAATTACAGACATTCATTAACTGGTGCCTGCGCAGAATAGAGGGAATAAAATGGTATAATAGAATAACTAATGTAGAACTTTGGGAGAGAACTAAACAGGCTCCAGTGGATCAGGAGGTGAGGAAAAGATGCTGGCATTGGATAGGGCACACACTGAGAAAACAGGAGAACAGCATAACTAGAATGTCTTTGCATTGGAACCCACAGGGGCATAGGAATAAAGGAAGGCCAAAAAAACACATGGAGAAGAGAGCTGGTGAATGAGGTTAGAAAGATTGGGAGGACATGGGGAAAGCTCCATGTAATGGCGAAGGATAGAACGACTTGGCGTGAGTTGGTTGAGGGCCTATGCTCCATTGGGGGATAGAAAGGCAGAAGAAGAAGAAGAGACGATTTGGTTCATTTATGCAGAGCTTTGATGGTCTGCCTGCGGCTGGTTTGCAGGCCAGAGGTTTGGACGTGCACTGCTGCCTCTATAGTATGCTTGAACTGTATTAAAAGCAGGCTCGTGTACTGAAGCCAGACATGTAGATTTTGACTTTTTCATTTTTAGCAGTCAGCAGAGAGACATTGATGGACACTTTGGACATTTGGCTTTTGTTCTAAGGGGCCCAGACCAGAGGCCCATCCACCATAACATTTCACTGTGTCCAGAGCCAGCTCGAGGCTCTTTCAGCGGCCTCGCCCAGTTGCTTAAGTCTCCTTTTACCTGCCCAGCCTTGATGAAGCGCATAGGGGTGACCGTATAACTGGTCCTAGCATTGGCCCTCATTCTAGCTTGGTCCACAATGTCCGCTAACTTTTTCATGACTTTATTGTGGTGCCAAGTAAATCTTCCCTGACCTAGGGCTTTCTTGTACGATGACAGGATGTGCTCGAGCGTCTGCTTAGCTCTGCATAGTGGGCATGCCGGGTCAGTATTTCAACATATTGGCGCCAGAGGGTAAAACATTATACGCAGACCTAATTACAAAGCTCAACCGCAGCGGGGCCATTCACCAAATCTCTCTACATGTGAGATTTTGTGGCAAGGCGCTGGTTGCCGCCACCTTACCTTTACGGATTGACAAACTCCTCGACTTCTGCGGTTTGAACTGCATTCTGCTCCACCCGACAACGCAGTCCAACCTTTTCAGAATGTTCCGGGCGTCCACCTCACTGCCCGTTATAATAGTTCTAGTCATATGTTTTAGTAAGCGGTGAAGCATTTGGAGGACTTTCGGGCTGTGTTTGTACACCAAGTACCATTGGGTTCTGGGGCAGATTTGCCGCTGGCTCTTTTCACTACATTTTCAACTTCAGCCCGGGAGGTAGGCATCGTTTTGAATTTCGCCTTCGGCAACTTCGGCCGCAGCAGGCCGCTTGGGATCTCCGGATCGTCAGCAAGAGGTTCGTTCCTTGTCCCGTCTGAGTACATCTTCTGTAGATGCGACTCTAACTCATGTCCCAGACTTTGGTTGCTCGAACAGGCCTCGGGCAAACTGGAATGGGTCCCTAAAGAACTTTTCTCTTTCCCTCTTGGTTCTCCGTCTGTTTATACAGAAACTCTTGGCGTGTGTCTGGCTCTCAGGTGCCTTCAGACCTCGTACAGCCCCTCCCGTTTGCTGTCCGTAGCGGCTTTGAACTGTTTTCTCAGTGCATTCGTGTCAGCTCTGCACTTTTCAATCTCTCTCTGTCGTCTGCTTTTCCCCTGCGTGGAGCCCGGCTGCACCTTCTCGACTGTCCCAAACTCGCGGGCACCGTGCGTGTAAATTATGTCTCCAAATCTTTTAACTTGTCACCCAGTTTCTTGTTTTTAAGCTCTTTTTTTATTGTCTCACACAGATTACCTTTCAGAGTACACCATGATACCTTATCATTCACGGCTGGATACTTGATCTTAGCCGGCACGTTGTAGGGGTACGCCCCCGGAGTCAAGGGCCTCTCCTCGCGTGTGTGGTGAACCCAGCCCGCCGTCCCTAACGTCTCAGTAACAACAGGTGTAATTATGCGCCGACGCTTGCTGCGTGGCGCGCCCTCACATTTCATTCTGCCGGCGTGCGTTCTAAGGCCGTGCAACCCAGTGAATGTCTTCCCACATGTGCATGACCAGCCCGGGCGGTGGGCGAGTATAATGTTCCGGGGACTGGCACAAATTATAGTATAGTGTAAGCTGACAAAAGATGGATTCTGAGTTGCCTCGCAGTAGAATTTGGGATCCTAGTTAAGTTTTATATATTAGGTTTTTTTAACAGTTTCAGCTGTAAGTAGTTGATACTTGAACTGACCATCCCAAAGCTTTGAGCTTAAAAGCAACAGACACATGACTGAAATAGACACAAAATGGTGTTGACATAGTTAAACTGATAATTAAGATGATAGGGGTTAGTGTAACATCTGTATGTGATTAGGAGACAGTAAAAATTGCATATTATCTTTTGAATGTCAAAGAAACATGTTGTGAGTTATTTGGTTCTGAAAGAGTTAAGGGATGAAAAGCATAAGAAGAAAATAAGAAGAAAGGAAAAAGAAGGAGAATAATAATTCTCTAATTACTTTATTATTATTTGTTTATGGCAACATGTGAATGTAACAATGTTCTCAGAAGTTCAATTTACAAATTGTTCTGTATTATGATGATTCAGACTCAAGCCTGCAAAGTCATGGCAGATGAAGACGTGAGCAGACCAGACTCTCACTACAGCAGTTCTCCAGCCACGCCAAGCCTCAGCAACCCTGGCACACCACGATCCGAAATCTCCTTGGATGTCCGAGCAACACCGCCTCTTTCCAGAGCCACACCACCATTGGCCAGATCTACTCCGCCCTTAGCACGAGCAACGCCTCCTTTAAACCAAGGCCATTCTCTGGGACTATCAGTTAACACTACAAAGTCAGTAACACAGGCACCATCTTCCTCATCCCCTCTCGCACAGATGCATCACCATCAGAGTAAATATGCTTCCCTTCTAGCTGTCATTGAGGACATGGGCAGAGATATCAGGCCGACCTATGCTGGGAATAGAGGCTCCACAGAAAGGCTTAAAAGAAGCATTGTTCATGCCAGGATTTTGGTTAGGGAGTGTCTAATGGAGTGTGAACGCAGTGCTCGTACTTAATCTTCTACTAACACTTTAAAAAAAGTGCTTTAAGGCATACTCATTCTGTTATTGTTGAAATAATAATAATAATCCTTATGGACACAACAGACTGTGCAGCCATATGTACAAGACATTCAAGATTGGGGATTCAGAACTTTGTCCACCTGGACAGGCACCACAGAATACTGAGCTCATGTTACAGTCATGCTCTCTACATGCAGTGGAGATGTCCCAGGTTTGGCTGGTTGGCATTCCGATAGAAAACACAGTGTAATAAGCAGTGGATGACATGTGTCGCACAACAGACTACTACTTAGAGGTCTTTGGTATCCTCATCTGAAAACTACTGGCAGGGAGAACAGAAAGAAGAAGATCCCTTTGTTTTGTTCATATGTTACCTAGAACTTCATTCTGTATTGTTTTGTGAGAGTTTCTTTAGCAATTAATGTAATTAAAGATTAATGTAATAATGCATGATACTTATCCAACTCTTTAGTCCTAGAAGTAATTATGGCTAATGGAGAAATAACTACAGTGCATTATTTAAAAATAATAAAGAAAGAAAATACACAGAAATACACAGCCTCGGTTCATCTTAGTAAAGATGCGATATAACAGCATTGAGGACACGCTCATATTAGCTCCATCTCCTACCTCACCAACCAGTGAACAGTCTCCATAGTGATGGTACCTTTTGTCGTTTGGTTAACTACTCATCTTGCCTTCCCCTGAGTGATGTCCAAAGTCGGCAGACACTCCTCACTGCCTCATTCTCTTCAGGTACAGGGATGTGTTCAGTGTTCCCACAGGTGAGAGATCACCTCTGCCTTGTGCAGTTGCAGTACACATGCAAGTGGGGCCGGTCCAGCTAACCAATTTACCTGCTCATTCCCAAACATGCCTACATGGCCCAGGCAATACACAGGGAAAAGGGAAGTGGGAAGTGACTACACAGACTACTCGTGAAATCAGGTTTCTGTAATATTCTCTGGCCAACAAGCTACTGTAGTACCAAGGTTAGTCTGCTTCCCTCATAGATAATTCAGGTTCAGTCCTCCGAAGTTACAGGATGTTTTTATGACCAGTATGACACTAGAGTCAACCAAGCATCATTAAAATGGGTAATGAACAATTTCCGGAAATTTATAGCCACCACTTCTTATTTTTGTATACCCTAAATTGTATGAAGGTTTACCACTTTACATCCTAATTGCAGTATTTGCAAGAAGGCTGCCTTTTTACTCTAGCTAAATATTAAGAAAAGCAAGAGACCAGATTACATTTTTGTTAAAAGTTGAAGTCAAGGATCTTCTTCATTGCACCCCGTTTATCCCATGTGGCTTGGTATCTTCCCGCATACCAAGCTAAGCCACATGCAGAGAGTGTCACACAAAGCATGAACTCCGTAGCTGAATTGATGATCTCAAGGGATCTCCATAACGCTCCACTTGTGAACTGAACGACACATTTGTAAAATGAACACATGACGTCCAGAATGTGAGACAAGTGGCTTGACCTGTTCGCCACAAAGACCCCTTCATTAGTTAGAATTAAAGAAGATTTACTTACACATCAGGGATTGTTCTGGACTAGAAGAGTTAAGAAATAAATGACACAATCATTCATTCGTTTAAGTGTTAACGGTTTCCATAGCATTTTAGTGTACATATTGTCTGCTCATAGTAAGTTCTCACGACTGATAGATAGCTGTGAATAGCATATGCCAAAGATTGTATTGATTTTGCTGGGCGAATTGTCAGCTGAACTCCAACACTCAGGTAGGATTTAGTAATCGCAGGGTTGCGCAATATAACTGTTTTATATATAAATTCAGCCTAGCCGAATGATTAAGACTGCAGGGCTCTCATGCTTGAAACCTGGGTTTGAGTCATTGATAAGATTAGGGATCTTTTTTTCCCAAAGGGGGGGGGGGGGGGGGGGGGCAAAATTACAACCCTTATATGCACAGTTCCTGGCAACAGCACTAGCTGTGCAACACTAGATACTCAGGCTCAAAGACCCCCTTCCCCACAGTGGTCAACATTGAAAACATTGCATTGATTGTGCTCTTGAAGTCAGCATTGAAAACATTAGTTTGGTGTTGTCCTTGAAACGAAGATTGAACACAATAAGTTGATGGCGTTCTTGAAATGAGCTTTGAAAATGTTAGGTTGGTGATATTCTTGGAAGTCAACATTCAGAACATTAAAGTTGATGGTCTTGATGTCGGCATTCAAAACATTAGGTTGACTGTGTTCTTGAAGTCAGCATTGAAAACGCTAAGTTGGTGGTGTTCTCAAAGTCAACATTGAAAACATTAGGTTGATGATGTTTTTGAAGTCAACTTTCTAAACATTAGGTTGATAGTGTTCTTAAAATCAACATTTAAAACATCGGGATGAAAATTTGTCAACATGGTAAGAATCAAGATGCTAATGTTTGTGAAGACAAGGTCTTCAAGGTCCAGTTTTTTGTTGTTGGGGGTGGGGGGAATGAACAGACCCGCTCTGCCTCTCCAAGAAGTGTGTTGTAAGAAGTGACTAAATAAGGGCTTGCTGAAATCGGATGTGTTGGGCCAAAGGGACAGATTTCTCAGCCTAGCTGTAAACCAATGTAAAAGCTGTAAAATAAATACAGTGTGCCAGCTGCTCTTTCAAGGGTCAACTAGAAGATGATTGAGGCATCTATAACAGCCACACTAGCTTGGTGCAGCCCTGTGTGGCTAAGGAATGTTTAATACAGTACAGACCACTTAGGGTGATCTTGGGTGTGGCAAATTTCTTTTGTAAAGAATAATTTGTTTATCCCTAGCAATGTTTCTTTCTTGAATCCTTATCTGGGTCAGAGAAATTTCTGATAAGAAGAACCATTTTTTGGGTCTCCGGTGAACATTTCAGTCATAATTTTGTCTTTAATTTTTTGTATACCATTATGTAATTGTTGTTGTTGTTTTGTTGCCATCTTTACAATGGTGATTGGCTGCTAAGGATGGATATGTGCACCCACTATTTGTTGTCTTCCGCAGTTTTACTTGGTGACGCCTCAGTCTCTTACATGGTACGACTCTTGTACCACAATTTCAAAACCATGAGAATGATCTTTAGTATATTTCTTATACAGTATTCAAACTTCCCAGAAGTTTTTTTTTTGAGATAAAAGAATGGACCCTCCCCCCCCCCCCCCTTTCCCCCCTCCACCCCAACTAGCAGGTCATAGGAAGTGTTTCCTTCAAAGTCAGATTGCATCTGTCTGAGAGATAAGGAACCAGTTGTCCACATACAGCTAAGCCAGATCTGTAAAATGGATGTGCACGGAAAACTCAAATTCTGGATCAGGACCAAAGTCTAGGAATGGACGAACAGCCAGAACTTTTTCACCAGAGTTTACAGGTGGTGACCGCTAACGGAGGAGAAAACCTTCAGTGTTCTCTTATCATCCTACTCTGTCTGGACCTCAGATTACTGTGTAACAATCAAGGGCCCCAATATAACCTCACGGTTGAACAGGGTTTCTGGGATTTGTCCCCTTATGGATTCTCAGGTTCTCATCTCAGTAATGACCCATTGCACTTTGCGTCGCCAGATGTTAGTCGCTGAGTGTGCCATCCTTGTAGGGTACAACTCAACATAGAGGACCTTCAGTGTTGTATGTCTGCAAGTTTCTACGTCTTGAAGTTTTTTTTTGGGCATATGGTGCTAAGCCCATATTTGTGTAGACCGACCGGTTTTTGATGTGTTGAATATCATGCTGGCCACAGTAACGTGCCAAAACATTTCTTTGTGACCATGTTTATGCTGGTACAACTTGTTTAGGTTTGTTGGTACAACTTGTTTAGATTTGTTGGTACAACTTGTTTAGGTTTGTTGGTACAAATTGTTTAGGTTTGTTGGTACAACTTGTTGAGGTTTGTTGGTACAACTTGTTTAGGTTTGTTGGTAGAACTTGTTATGCCAGCATAAGCATGGTCACAAAGAAATGTTCTGGCAAGTAACTGTTTGTTTAGGTTTGTTGGTACAACTTGTTTAGGTTTGTTGGTACAACTTGTTATACCAGCATAAGCATGGTCACAAAGAAATGTTCTGGCAAGTAACTGTGGCCAGCATGATATTCACGACATCACATGCCAGTCGGTCTCTAACTTGTACAACTTGTGATAGATACATACTTGTGCTTGTTAGTTTTGTATTTGCCTTTTCATAAGCAAATGTTAAGGTGCATGGATTTGTAGTATGATTAAGATTGTGTGTGCTGCTTATTATAATGAAGTATTTTTTACCCATTTTCGGAACCTACAACTTTAAAATTATATTTGCTTTGCTCTTTTATTGTTTCAGTTTTATTTTTTCGCAAAGTGTTATTGATAAGACAATTGATGCTGATACGGGAGAAGACTAATGAATAGGTCATATTTGAATAATGCATTGAAAGGGAGATAATAAAAATTTCTTTATTCCATCGCTTCTAATATTTTGTCTCAGTACCTGGCATAACATGTGTGTACAGTATGTTGTTTTGGTGAAAAAATGTGTGATAAAAATAAATGGAAAAGGAAAAAAAGATTTGGTTGAGACATAGATACGGTTAGAGAAAATGAACTAGAGGCATTAAAAACACGGATTCATTGAAAGGAAACAGCTCAGATATTTTAATTAATGACCAGTCAGGGTAAGGCAGAGATACTGTTTACCCCAGTATGGAACATATTTTTTCCTTATTTTAAAGCTTCCACTCCGGCTGTTGTCAGGGGCCCTAAAATCACGGAGTGGTTGAACAGGGCTTTAGGGACTTGCGCCTGGATGATTTTCATCCAAAATAGTGGCAGTTTGTGTCACTGGGTGTTTATCGCTCGTTCTGTAGTCCTTATAGGGTTGAACGCCAGTCAGTCAGTTAGTGAGGCAGAGTACCTTCTAATAACAACTGAGGGAAATGTTAAAAACTCCAGTTACCTTTTTTGGCTCTAAAACCTGGAGCAGAGGTGAAGCCTTATTACACAATTTATAAGAGTCTTACAACGAATC